AGAGTCTGTTCGCTGAACTGACTCTCACTGATACGAATCACTCCACCTCCAGGGCGTACGCGGCACCAATCAGTTCCCCCGTGGCTAGTACCACGTGGGTCACTGACGTACATGGATCCGCCTGCATGCGAACACGTGACTCCTTTCAGCAGTTTCACCTGGATCCGGCTCGGTTCTGGGACATGATTGGCTAAGGGTAGGCAGTTTGTTTTGGCGCCCACATATTTAAGTGAGATCCGAATACCACTAGGTTGGCCCCTGACGAAGGTGCACACACTTAGCACCTGAAACGCGCGTCGGGTGTTTCTATTCACTATTATTATTTTTTGTTTTTTCAAATTATGGCTTTCGGACAATCTCTGTTCCATGTACTCTGCAGCCTTATGATGATTTGAATTATTCTCTATACCTTTTTTCTATCTCTCTACCACCTTATCTGTCTAGCTAGATTTACAGGGAGAGAGGCTTTTTCATTAACCTTTACTATCAGTTTATTTTGAACTGATCTACTTCCTTGTTATCCTTTCCCTTTTACTCCGTACTTTTGGTCAATGGGATTTATGGCTTATTTGTGTCTATAGGATATCTCCCCCTTCTTATTCCCTCAAGTTTTTAGGTAACTGGCTGGACTAGGTTTATGTGTTTATATAGGGGGCTTTTTTTGCTTTTTTGCTTGGATGGATACTGCAGGAGTTACTTCTGGGATGGATATATTTTTTAGCTTATCCTAATAAAGTTTTATTTTATTCCACTTTTCCAGTATCCTCCACCAGACTCTAGCAGCGAGACTGTTTCTCCTCCTATTTTCATTTTTTTGAGAGATAGTGACACTAGTTCAGTGTAGGTCTTTAGGACCTCACACTTTGTTGGGGTGTATTTATACACTGTATACACTTTTTTCTTTCACTCCTACATTGCTACATTTATATCCAGGGGATGCAAAGGTCTCATACTTTGCTCTAAGTAGAGACATTGTAGCATCTGTTTTGTTGTGTGTGGTCCTGATACACACTGACACAGAGCAGAATAGGGAATGTTACCCCAACATCGGGTCACTTGGCAGATATGGATTGACACCTGTCCTAAGGATCCCTGATACACACTGACACAGAGCAGAATAGGGAATGTTACCCCAACATAGGGTCACTTGGCAGATATGGATTGACACCTGTCCTCAGAGCCCCTGATACACACTGACACAGATCAGAATAGGGAATGTTACCCCAACATAGGGTCACTTGGCAGATATGGATTGACACCTGTCCTAAGGATCCCTGATACACACTGATACACACCTACTTGGATGGTATAGACATTTTTAGCAGCTCCTGGCCCCAACACCTGACCCACATAGGAGCCGTAATAGACCGGATTAGGGAGTCCGGACTGACCCTAAAGCCCAGTAAGTGCCATATAGGAACGTGTAAAAACCTCCCCAAGATAGGTAGTATGGGCCCCAGAATGAACAGGCCTTCCAACAGCTCAAGACGGCGCCATTAAATCACCTGTACTTTCTTCTCCTGATCCAACTAAACACTTTCTCGGCCATACAGACGCTTCTATACTTGGATTGGGAGCAGTACTGAGCCAAGTCGGAGCAGATGGTGGCGAGCAACCCGGGGCTTATCTAAGCCGTAAACTTTTGCACAGCGAAGTATATTCACTGCCATTGAAAAGGAGTGCATAGCGGTGGTGTGGGCCCTCAAAAAGCTGCAACCTACTTGTATGGACAACCGTTTACCTTACTCACAGATCACAACAAATTTGGGGCACTGCGCGTGCAATCTAATGTGCCACCAGATAGGAGTGGTGTGTTTAGTACTATTGTTATCAGTTTAATCACTGTTACGTCCCCTATCCGTTGATGTGGAGCAAGACGCAGCAGCAGAAGAGGACTCAGCCGAGGAGGTTATGGAAGAGGATGGAGTAGGAGGAGTAGAGGAGGTGGCAGCGT